GGCAAAATTTTTGAGCATTTTGGAGTGCATTGAGCAATATTTCCTCCAAGATGGGTCGGTTTCCAAGATGCGACGGGTATTTTTTCATCCGTTTTTCATTCTCTTCCATGGAACGTTATAAATTTTTATACATTTTTTTACACAGTTTTATCTCCGGATATCCCTCTTAATCTCTATTCCCTTTCTGCGCCGCAGGCAAAAATTTTGAGAATTTGAGGTCCTTAAGTCAGATTTCTTCCATTTTTCAGCGCCGCAGGCGAAAATTTTGAAAATTTCGGAAGGCCGTAGGCGAAAAAAATCACTTTTTAGTGTTCAAAGTAAAATATTTTAAGAATTTTAGAGGGCAAAATTTCATAATTACTCCATGTAATAATAAAATAATTTTTAAAACAAAATTAAACTTATAAAATAAGTTATTTATGAAAAGAAAAACATTACAATTTATTGTCCAGTGAATAGGAATCGAACCCAATATCAAGTCATTAAAGACTTTGGGCAGCCACGCACCTTCACCACTCGGCCACCCGCTCATATAATGGAGAATGAAAGGAATTAAATATATTTCTTAAATTTTCCTATTAACACCAAGTACGAGAAGTACGAGCTCGTACTTAGGCCTCGTACCTCGTACTTTTCACTTTTTTTGGCCTCGTACTCGTACTCGTACTTCGTACCTGCTCCATTTTTTTGCTCGTACTCGTACTCGTACTTCGTACCAGGTACGAGTACGAGTACGAGGTACGAGTACGAATTTTGGTACGAGCTTCGAAGCACTGCATTTAACCCCTTAAGTCTAAATCCTTTACATCCTTATTTTACGTTTTTAATTTGGATTTTTTAAAATTATTTTTCAACGTAATACTTAAAATAGAACAAAGATTGGCGCTAAAATATTCCTCTAATATCCTTCAAAATAAGGATATAACTTAAATTTTGACGTTATTAAATAGAGGAAAATCTAGGCTATTTTATAAGATTTTTTAAAAAAAATTATTTTTTAGGAATTAATTTTTCTAACCCCTTCAATAACCTTTTAACTATTTAAGTATAACTCCTTAACATAGGAGCTTGAAAAATTTATAACTTTACTCAATAAAAAGATTAAAATTTAATTTAAATACCTTTAAATAGAGGAGAATCTAAGCTACTATCTAATCTTTAAAACCATTTTTATATAAATCCAAAAAATTAAAATAATTATGACCAAAACCTGGTGTAATCTAATTAAAAATTTTAACAAAAAATTAAGGTTGTTGACGACCGGTTATTAACAGGTACTTCCGGTTTTCGGTTTTGAATTTTAGGAAAATACCGGTTTATTTTTGAGGGAATTTATAATAAAATCACTCATTTTCACAAATTTCCGGTTTCGGTTTTTAAAACTTTAAAACTGTTTAATTTTTGGCAAAAAATTTCAAAAATTCCGGTTTTAAAGCCGGTCACCAACAACCCTACTTTCAATCCTTTCAACAACCATTTAACCCCTCATGTATAAATCCTTGACATAGGAGCTTTAAAAATTTATAACTTTCATCAGAATAGAGATGAAAATTAAATTTTAATAACTTTAGATAGAGGAGAATCTTAACTACTATCTGATTATTTATTTATCAGCAAACCACAGGTATTTTAAAATACATTAAAGTGGTGCATAAAAAAATATACAAATTGAAAAAATATGTGAAAAAACAGCAAACAAAAACATGAATAAATTTAAAAAAAAATTAAAAAAATATGTATAAGAAAATAGTAAAAAAACACTCTAAAAAACACACACGCTAGGGTTTTATGTCTTTAGTATTTTACTTTATCATTAAAATACTGTTTAATAAAACTTCTAAATTTTTTCGGATCAGTTAATTTAAATGACTCATTTGGAAGATTATTCCAGTTATTTACTACTCTGTGAAAAAAATTATTTTTTGTTCTATTTATATATTTTTTTGTCCTAAGAAGTAGAGGCCTGCGAAGAGATCTATTTGATAAATTAAAATATTTTTGGGAATTAAGAGATGTAAAGCCTTTTATAATTTTAAAGGCGGTGGATAGATCGGCAACCTTTCTTCTATCTATTAACTTTTCGAGTTTACAGGTAATTAATCTTTCTTCATATGGGACCTTAACTAAGCCGCATTTTTTGTAAATATTTTTAGTGAATAGTTTTTGGATTTTTTCGATTTTATCTATTTGATATTTCATTTGTGGATTCCATACTTCAGTTGCATATTCTAGTTGGGATCTTATATATGTTTTATATATATTAACGAGGAGATTTAAATCTCTAGATTTAATTATTCTTATTATTTGGAAGCTCTTTAGATATGCGTTTTTTATAATCATATTTATATGGTTATTAAATGATATTTTTGAATCAATTAATACTCCAAGATCACGAATACATTCTGTTTCTTGTACTTTTAATCCATGAATGCTATACTCTTTTTTCATGTTATTTTTACCTAAATATAAAACATAGCATTTATTTGGGGATATTTCTAAACCATTATCTTCTGTCCATTTTTCAAGTTTAAATAAAGCTTTATTAAGTTGATCTCTTTCTATGCCGTTTTTATGAGCTATATATAATTTTACATCGTCTGCATATAGTTTTACTCCAACATTTTCAGGGATTTCATTAGGAAGATCATTTATAAAAATAAGGAATAAAAGTGGCCCTAAGACACTTCCTTGAGGTACACCCGATAATGTTTCATAGTTTTGGGATAATTGGTCACCTATCTTAATCTTGAAATTCCTATCCGATATGAAGTTTTTAAGAAAAGTATAAACTTTTCCACTTATGCCTGCCTTTTCTAATTTATCTAAAAGAATATTTATTGGTACAGTGTCAAATGCCTTAGCAAAGTCTATATAAATAATATCTATGCTATATCCATCTTGTATTGCATTATAGAAATCATCCATGGTAGATAATAACTGTGTGGTTGTGGATCTTGATTTAAGAAATCCAAATTGATTTTTATTAAAGAACTTATTATCTTCTAAGAATTTTGTTAATTGCTGTGCAATAATTCTTTCAAGAACCCTACATAAGGTGCATGTTAGCGATATTGGACGATAATTTTTTGGATCTGATTTTTCTCCCTTTTTATACAATGGAATAATAAATGATGATTTCCAAATTGATGGAATTTGCCCATTATCAATAATACATCTAAAGATATCTGTGATTAGCTTTGTAAGTGTGTCAGCGCAATATTTTAATAATATATAAGGAATGTTATCTGGAGAAGTTGAATTACGATTAGGAAGTGATCTGAGGACATCCCACACAGTGCTAGTACTTAAATCTATGTCTAAAAATTTTGTTTTCGGAATTATATTTCTGTTATAATTCGATAGATTAATATTTTTATTTTGGAAGTTTTTTTGAAATTCTTTTCCTAAAACATTACATTTTTCTTCATTACTAAAGTAAAATTTATTTTCTTTATCAATTAAACAGGGTATGTTATTATCTTGGGTAAGTCTGTTTCTAATAAACTTATGTATCGAATTTCCACCTTTATTTATTATTTTTTCTTCCTTAGTATTATGGTGAATTTTTAATTGTTTTTTCAAGTTTCTTGAAACGATTTTATACTCAAGTTTCAACTCGTGATCATGTTTTCTTTCTTTAAGGACTCTGAATAATCTAAGTTTTTCTTTGTGTAATTCCTTAATCCTTTAAAATAATTTTTAACTAAAGATAAGGCCAAAAAATTAAAATGATTATTGCTCAAACCTGGAGTAACTTTAATAAAAAAATTCTAACTAAAAATCTTCAAAAATTCACAACTTTTAATTGGAATGAGATAGAAAATATATTTTAACGTCTTTAGATAGAAGAGATTCTTGGCTACAAAATGACATATTAATTCTTTTTTTCTATTTTTAATCTATTTTTAGAAAAATTAATTAATTATTAAAAGAATTAACAATAATCCTCATTAAAATCTAATTATATTTTTTGCTAAAATTTATACCTTCCTTTATCTCAAGAATAAAAATTTAATTTTACTCTTATTTTATAACCAAAAATCTGCTTTATCTTTTAATATAAATTCAAAATTGAAGATTAGTTTAGCCAAGTTTTGTTCTTTTTAAATTCATCTCTCAATTACTGGTTATGGTTCAAGCTTTCAAATAATTACAAATGATTTACCTAATTATAAAGCACCATGGGTGTGCCGAAATGGTTTACACACCCCTTTATTTTTCTGTATTTTTATTTAGCAAAAAAAATTAATTTTTTTAATCTCAAAAATGTGCTTTATAATTCTTTAATTAAATTAAATAATTCCTCAAAAATGCCAACTTTTTTGTTTGTTTAAAATACATATATCAATTTCTCCTTTTTTTCTCTTTAATAATAACCTCACAACATGTTTTGGACATTTAAATAAATAAATTCCCATTGGTTTCATATTCCTTTATTGCCTATATTTTTTGCCATTATTTTCTTTATTATTAAGTGCATTTTATTTTTAATTTCCAAAAATATTTTTACCAAAAACCAAAAAATATATAAAGACATAGAACAGTAATACGCACTAAATTGGTTAAACCTCGATTTTATGTAGACACGTTTTTTTTAATTTTAATTGGCTACTGGATAGGGGGAGAGATACTGCCTAAACGAGATACCCTCAATTTAATATATGTATACATTTCAGTATAAGAGACTAGGGTTGCCATTTTCGAGGCCGACGTTCGAGTAATTTTTTCGGGCCTCATTTTTATAGGGCCGGCCCGACCGAGTCTTTTTCGGGCCAAAATTCGATGCACGACTCGATCTTTCGGACCGAACCGGGCCGGCAACCCTATAAGAAACCTTTTATTTAATATAATTTTAGTATAAGAAATTCAATATATGTGTCGTTATAAGAAACCCTCTATTTAATAAACACTCGATTATAAGGGCCAATTTCCCCTCCAAGGCGTATCTAAAGCGATGTTTGTCTGTAACTAATTTTATACTTCATTCAATCCTAAAAATATTTTCTTTCAGTAAATTTAATGATTTTTACCAAATCAGTCCCCGTTTTAGTAGAGAATAGTCCTAGAAAGAAAAATCAACATAAACAACCTAAAAATTTCAACAAAAATTCTGTCAGGCGGAGAGAAAGCAGTCGAAATAATTGTATGTCAGTTAAATATTTAAAATCTCTCTAAGTTATCCCATCCTTTATTATTAAAAAGCCATTGCCAGTCTTGGTCGTTCTTACCAATATTCGTATCCGTGCATAATACGAGTGCGAGTGAATCATTATCCTTATATCTTGATTTTGTGGATTAGGAGGGGTGATATCGGTGATATATGGGATTACGGAGGATATCAAAGGTTTAGAGGTACTAGAGGAATACATAGGAATTTGGAGGGAGTAAGGAGGATCTGGTTCCGTAGTCGTTATTTAAATATTTAATAACTATTTAAAACTTATTAATAAATACAGTCCTCCACATAACTATACAGCCACCCTATTTTTCGAAATTTTTCCCGCTTAAATAGGAATTTGTAAATTTTTACACTTAAATATAATATACAAGCAGCAAATGAACCGATTATTATGCTTTTTCAGTAATTATTAAGTTTTGTTCCATTATTTTCCACTTTACCTGTAAAAATTACCTCCACATAACTATACAGCCACTTGTATTTTCGACCTTCGGAGTGGCCCGAAAAATCTACAAAATTTTCTGTAAACATATCTATTGATATCTATACTAAATACAAAAGAAACGAAGTTCCTATATAATTCCTTCATTGAGATCTGAAAACCCGAAAATCAACGGAAAACCGGGGTAGACGTCTTTAAAAAATATTTTCGACCCCTTACAGGTAAAATAAAAATTTCATTTTGGGCTTATTTGAAAGCCCTTGAAATTTGCTACAAGTTAGTTTTCATCTCATAAATCAGAAAAAATTAATCTTTGAGAAATAATGAGTTTAGTTTTTAAGTTACATTTTCATCACTTTTTTGGGGGCGTCTGAGTGATTTTTATGACCTGAAAGTTTATCACATTATGTCTTCAAGGTGAATTTTTTTCGAAAAATAATATTAATGCTATCTTGTAGCAAATTTCAAGGGCTTTCAAATAAGCCCAAAATGAAATTTTTATTTTACCTGTAAGGGGTCGAAAATATTTTTTAAAGACGTCTACCCCGGTTTTCCGTTGATTTTCGGGTTTTCAGATCTCAATGAAGGAATTATATAGGAACTTCGTTTCTTTTGTATTTAGTATAGATATCAATAGATATGTTTACAGAAAATTTTGTAGATTTTTCGGGCCACTCCGAAGGTCGAAAATACAAGTGGCTGTATAGTTATGTGGAGGTAATTTTTACAGGTAAAGTGGAAAATAATGGAATAAAACTTAATAATTACTGAAAAAGCATAATAATCGGTCCATTTGCTGCTTGTATATTATATTTAAGTGTAAAAATTTCCAAATTCCTATTTAAGCGGGAAAAATTTCGAAAAATAGGGTGGCTGTATAGTTATGTGGAGGACTGTATTCAAAATAGTTTTATTGAAAGGAAAATTTATTTTAGCATTTTATATTTAAAATTTAAATTGACAAATAAACTATAAAATGAATTCACGACTAAGCTTACGAAATATTTAATTCGTTAATTTTTAATTTAATTTTGAAATTTTTCTTTAACAAAAAATTTTCTTAAAAATCATCCTCTTGTTCATCTTCAGGTTTTTTATTTAGTTAGATCAAAACGATAATTATTTTTATTCAAATTTATTTGATTTATCTCATTTTCTTGAATCTTGTTTGGCTCCATAATTTGATTTAAATTATCCTAATTATTTTCTGCTTCGTTTTCTTCATATTCTTCCCCTCCTTGATTAAAATGATTTCCTTCCTCGGTATCTAAGCTCTCTTCGGAAACAATAGGTTCTTTTCCTTTATTCCTAGACTCATCAATTTGTGGATTAACAAATGAAGTTCCTTCATTATTAGAAGATTCTAGGTTTCCTAATTTTGAACTTTCGCCAATTTCTTTTCCGTTTTTAATTTTTTGATAGTATTTTCGGTTATTTTCTTTTACCTTTTCTTTGTTAATTTCATAATATTTTTGCCTAAAAATTCGAATCTTTTCTTTATTATTATTTCTATACTTTTGCTGATATCCCATAAACTTCTCCCTATTATTTTGTCAATAAACTTTGAGATATTCTCTTCTATTCAACTTTTTTTCGTTATTTCCAGTTGTGTCCTCTCTTGTATGTTTTGACGTTTCATCAGGTTTCTGAATTTGAGGATTAACCGAAGATTCAGCCGCATTAGTTGAATATTCATGTATATTCTTTGACACTTCACCAACTTCATTTAACTCATTTTAAACTTTATTATCCTTAACAGAATTAATTAAACTCCATAATATCGCATTGAAAATTTAAAAAATTAAAACACTTTCAAATTTCATCCTAAATTAATTTTAAAATTAAATTAAAAAAATTAAATTTATGTATAGAGCAGTGAGAAATAATTTAGTAATTTACTCATATAGATCAAGGCAATAAAGCTCTCAGACAAATTAAAAAATCTCAAAGGACAATTTCTCAACCTTTTTTAATATTTTTTCAATAATAAAAGTGCAAATAATCATTGAAATAAAAGTGCATCTTTGTTTCTTAAATTTAAGAAAATTAAAGAAAATTATTATATCGGAAATATAAACAACTCAATAAGTATCAGGGATGGCCTTTCGCTCTTTAAATCTGTTTCGGCACCCCCTATTATTCTTTAAATCAGTTTTTAAGTCTCAATCCTTTATATATCCCGGTTGGATATGGAATACCGGAGAGATGGAATTGCTGAGAGATTTCTCAAGACTGATATATTTAATTTTTAGTCTAAAATGCGATGGGAGGATTTTAAAATGATTCATAAAAATCGGTTCAGGCGTTCAGAAGTTATGACAGTTTGACTATAGTGTACCTAAAAGGGTAATTACTACTGTCAAGCGCCAGACCGGATTTGGAAACCGAATCTCATTTCAATCACCGGAAATATAATTCTACCGGAAACTAGATATACATATTGCCTTCCCACTTTAAAATAATTTCTTTCCCTTCAATTTAAGCCTCTAACCATCACCAATCCTTCCATTCAACGCCTTCAGGTATGAGTACAACAACCTTAATAGATGAAGAACACCAACAACGTCAACAAGTCCGTTCTGCACTTTTACGTCACTGGACTTGGTTAGACCGTGCTAGACTGCATACTTTCCATTTTTGGCTATTTGTTTATTCCTTGGCACAAATTTTTTTATTTCACTATTTATGCCACCGTGTTTGGTCCTTTGTTTATGTTTTCTTTTGTGCGATATTCCCAGCTTTAGTTTTGGCTTCTATTGTGTTGATACGTTATGGACGGTTGGAATTTTCTAGGAAACGACTACGGTGGTTTTCTTTGGTTGGTTTTTGAAGAAATTAAATTTTAGGGTTCTTGTTGAATATCGAGAACAAATTTAAAAGAACTCTCTTTATTAGCGACTCTCTTTATTAGCGACCCCGTATATTAGCGACTCTCTTTATTAGTGACTCCCTATATTAGAGACGTTTCAATATAAGCTTACTTTATTTATGTCCAGTTGTCTTAAAAGAGAGTCTCTAAAAGAATTCAGTAAATTCCTTCTCGAGTAGTTACTGATGAGTGTTTATAATTTTAATGATTTTAAAATTGAAAAATAAATAAAAAAATAATTTCTCAGATTTCGTCTGTCTCATTTCCAGTATTTTTATGGCTCATTCACTTGCCGCTAATTTCTGAATTTCGAGTTAAACAAGAAAGAATAGCTGAACTAGGTATGTTGTTGAAGCCCACCTCGGCACTTTCTAAAATTAATAACTCTTGATTTACTAAATATTTTGTAAAGATTTTGGTGTCAATTGATAGAGAATTAAATTGATTACAAAATGGAGTTAGAAGCTCACTTTTATTCCGAAAATTTAAAAATTTTCTGGTTAATAAAATCTAACATTTTTAGCTAAAATCATCATTTTAGATGATTTTTCCGTCATAATTTTTTTCATTAATTATCAATAATTTTGTTTTTTATTTTATTTTATAGCAAATTTAATTCTCTATCGAATGATAGTAAAATCTTTCCAAAAGGTTCAAGCTTTCTCGAGTTATGATTTTTTGAAATAGTCTGAACGATGACCTCTATAGGAGGGTTATTTAATTTATTTTGAAATTTTCTCAAGAAATAAATAAACTTTAAATAAAACTTGGCCAATTTAAAAATAAACTTAATTTTTAAGCTTCATTATCATCTTCATTAGCAATTTGTACCCTCTATCAATTTTTTGTTTTGCCTCGCCTCAGGCGTTTATTCACTTTTCTCTCCCTTGGATTTATTATTTGCAATACTTTAATTATTGGAATATTTTTATATATTTACAATGATCAACTAGCTTTCTCAGAATCCCCAATACTTGCAGTTATCCCTCTCTTTATCTATCAATTAATTGTTTTGATTGTTGGAATTATTTGTGATTCAAATTCTGCAAGTAGTAGACAAGCTATAGCACAAAAATTAACTGAAGCAATTCAAAGGAGGGATGAACTTGAACAACTTAAAAATAGACAGGTGGAAATGGATGGGAGTCTGAAATCCCTTTTAGATACCCCATAGAGTTTAAAAAATGTTACTGTGCGTCCGTAAATTATACGACCACCTGCATTTTTTATAATATCTTATCTTTGATATGATATTTTCACTTCATTTCTTTATTATATTTATTAATTATGTATTCAGAACTTGTTAGCAAAATTTCAATTAAATATTATGAACCATCTCTCAGAAAATTAAATTTAATTAAAAGTAGTTGATTTTCAAGCGTCCGTAAATTATACGACCACCCTGGATAATTCTGTATCAGATAATAGGAAAAATCTACAAAAAATTTTCAGAACATATCTATCAGTATACATAAGAAATACAAAAGAAACGAAGTTGAAATATAATCCCTTCATCGAGATCTCAAAATCCGAAAATCAACGGAAAATCGAGGTGAAGGTCTTTAAAAAATATTTTCGACCCCTTATGGACTAAATTAAATTTTGATTTTATACTTTTCTGAAAGCCCTTTAAATTTGCTATAAGTAAATTTAAAGGGCTTTCAGAAAAGTATAAAATCAAAATTTAATATAACCATAAAGGGGTCGAAAAATTTTTTCAAAGACATTTACCCCGGTTTTCCGTTGATTTTCGGGCTTCGAGACCTTGATGATGGAGTTATAATAAAACTCCGTTTCTTTTGTATTTTACATTAATATCAATAGATATGTTTACCAGAATTTTTGTGGATTTTTTCTGCTATCCGAAACATGATTATCATAGGTGGTCGTATAATTTACGGACGCTTGAAAAACGACTACTTTTAATTAAATTTAATTTTCCGAGGGATGGTTGGGAATATTTAAATGAAATTTTGCCTAGGAATTCTGAATACATAAATGATTAATATAAAAAAGAAATGAAACGAAAATGTCATGATAAAGATAAGATATGACAAAAAATACAAGTGGTCGTATAATTTACGGACGCACTGTATCTTATAATGAGATGTAGCCTAAATAGAGAGGGTATCGGGACTTATCTTTCCCAACTAGTGACCAACAAATTTAATAAAACTTATCCTAAATAAAGGTGTATCTATTATTGAATGTATCGACATGTGAATAAGGTCGGAGGATCCTGAAAATTTTCGGATATCCGATCCGGTATCCAAACTGAAAATTTCCTGATATTCGGTCTCTTTTCGGATTCGGATATCCGGATTCACTAACATTACAAGTGAGGCTACACTGCAGTCTGCTCTCATTACAAGATAACCCCAATATTAATACAGGGTGACCAGAAAATTAAAATTAAAGTTGCAATTACTTTCTGGTTACCCTGTATATCTCCATTTAAGATACGATTTTCAAATTTAGTTGGTCGCTGGGTGGAGGAGCTGCTTAAACTAAACCTCAAATTTAGGAAGCATCACATTATAGGATTTATAATTTTTAACCCCTAAGAGGGCATCTAATAGCGAGCTCAGACTATTTATTGAAATAAATATTAATTAAAATTTATTTTTAAAAATACAGGACCAACTATTATTAAGTGTAATTCCCCCTTATTTAACTGACAAAGTTAGCAAGTCAATTTTTGCTACTTCCTCAGCTGCTGATTTTAGCAAACAGGGAACTACACAAATGAAACTATTTCATGAGTTACATGTTCAGGTAAAAAATATTTTTAAAAGATTAAACGAAATATACGTGAAGTGTGCGTTATCGAGGGTTGGATGCCTCATAGTTTCAGTCTCCATAGCAATTTCTATCACACAACTTTTTAAATTCCAACTTGATCTCAATAATTGTTATATTAATCTAAAGCCCTTTAAATGTGTTGATTATTTTACCTAGCAAGGCTGTTCTGATATGTGTCTCATATAAAAAAGTTAGAACCGGATAAAGACAAAAAATCATTATTGCGCACACTCTGGCTCAACATTTTATTTAAGGGTATGATCAGAAAAGCCTTGTTAGGTAAAATAATCTACATTCAAAAAACTTTAGACTGATATAATATTCCCAAATTTTACAATACCGGGAATGAAAGAGTTGTGCCCCAAAATAAGGTTCCTTACTAACACAAAAAAACTAAAAATTCCTGAAACTAAAAATTCCTCAAAACAGCAAATTATCCAAAAAATCTCACAAAATATCAAAAATTATTTTTAAAAATAATTTCAAAAATCTCAACAATAATTTAATTAAAGGTTCACGATAATGTTTCCATTTTATTTGCTGATATTGTTAATTTTACTCAATTAGCTGCCCAACTTGTAGCTAAAGATTTAGTTAAAACTTTAAATGAGCTTTACAGTAAATTCGATGCTGATGCCCAGGCAAATTTTGAAAAATACTAAAATTAATTTTAAATTTTGTTTAAAGAAATTAAGCTGTATGAGAATTAAATTTCTTGGAGATTGTTATTATTGTGTTAGCGGTATGCCTGTTAATAGGCCTAATCATGCAGATATGTGTGTTCTTATGGGTGGGAGATTTTTTCTTATAAATTATTTTAAAATGTCGAAATTTTCGAAAATTTCGAAAACTACAAAATTTTAGTTTTACTTCAAAAATTCAAATATTTAATCATTCAAACGCTCACTTTCAAGACGTCCATAAAGTACATAAATGCTTGAATAATTACCCTCTCTCAAATAATTACCTCCTCCCTTTCCTTCTCTAATTTTAAAAATATTGAAAAATCATTGTCAATTTTAATTATTGAAACATTATAAGAATCAATGTCAAAAAATAAATGGATTTTCTCCTAGATTTATTGAGATATACCCCAAATTTAGCCCATCTTCTCGATTAATTACTAGTGATGGTCGGGAGTTAAAAAAAGCCGAGAGTCGGGAGTCGAGACCGAGACCGGGAATCAACCCCGAGACCGAGTCCCGGGTCGAGACCGAGAGTCGAGACCGAGAGTCGAGACCAGAGATTAGGAGGGATATCACTTGATATACCCCTATATATTCTTCATAATCCCCCAAATTCCTTGAATTTCCACATTCACAATATAACTTAACTCCTTCTAAATCTGCGCCGCAGGCGAAACTTTTGAAAAATTTTGGTGGTCATGAAGCCAGATTTCTCCCATTTACTACGCCGCAAATGAGGATGTATACTGAGGATTTAGGCACCTCATGCGAAAATTTAAAAAAATTCATGATTCATTTAAAATATTTAATGTCTTTTCAAGTTTAAAATATTTAAAGAATAAATTTGAAATCAAAATCAAAGTTAAAAGACATTTATTTTTGAAAAGAAAAAATTTTCCAGTCTAAATTCCACCCCTGGATTCGAACCCAAACCTAACAAAATAACAAAGTGATTGAAGTCAGTCACACTAACCACTCAACCATCGACCATCAGAAGAAAACTTAGGAAAAAATATATATATTCCTTTCCCTTTTCTTAAAAAAATAAATGTCAAAGTACGCGAGGGACGAATAAAATTCAAAAAATTTCCGTCATTAGGGGTGTAAATTTAGTCTCGTTTTCCGAGACTAAAACACCGAGACCGAGACCGAGAGCTCAAAAAACCCGGGAAATTTCCCGACTCGGGAACCGAGACCGGGAATCCCGACCATCACTATTAATTACCCCTACAGCGAGAGGTCGAAACAATAATTACCTAGGGTAATTATTCGAGCATATACGGTATTTCAAAACTTAAGCTTCCTAAATAGATTTGTATTTATTTAAGGCCTGGAGATGATAAAAACAATAAGGCAAGTTAGATTAGCTACAGGAGTTAATGTAGATATGAGGATTGGAGTACATAGTGGTTCTGTTCTGTGTGGAATTTTGGGTTTACGAAAATGGCAATTTGACGTTTGGTCTGATGATGTTACTTTAGCTAATCAAATGGAAACGACTGGGAAACCTGGGTTTTTGGAAAAAAATTTTTTTGAAAATTTTTTTTCAAAAAATTTAGAGCTTTACATATCAGCAACAAAACAAAAGACAGCCTTATAGACAAATATAATATACTTGAAGCGCCCCCTTTAGATGAACAAATATTTAAATGTTTGTTTAAAATTCTGATTTTAAGAATAAATTTATTAATTTCAGCCAATAAACACAAAACTTATTTTATTTTGCCTGATAATTATTATAATGATTTTGAGAGGCCTTCGAATATTTGTATAAATAAAAGGCTTGTTAAATTTGAATTTTTTGTGAAAAAATTCTGAAAATTAAAAAAAAAATTTTTTATATAAAAAAATTTTTAAATAATTTTTTAGCCCCTCAGAATGTAATTTATCTCAAATCCAAGCCAAAAATAATTTCGATGAAAATCACCTACTTCCAATACGGGATGATTTTACTAGACACCACAGAGCTATTTCTATGAAAGCTAAGGGTGTTAAAATGGCGGAATATTGGGGGGAACAAACTAGAGTTCTTGCACCTTTGTCTACAACACCCAATGTTAAAAGAAAATTTAGAAATGAATTAAATGATAAAAATAAGGAAAATAAACAAAGTGGATATACAGGTGGATAAACAATTTTAAATAATTTATTGGAAGCAAAACAATTTTAAAAACAAATAAAAATCAGAAAAACATTGGATAAAAATCAGAATTAAATAAAAACATTTAGTAGATAACAACAAAACAAACAACAAAGATTTTCAGAATAATAATGTTTTTTGTTCTGAAACAAAAGAAACAAATATTAAAACAAGAGGTTCTCTTAAACTACAAACATCACAACAAACTAATAAAGGTAAATGTTTCATGTTTTATAGGTTTTATAAAAAATCAGAATTAAATAAAAATATGTTTAAATCAGAATTAATCAAATAAACACAATCAGAATAATCGAAAAAAACAACAAAATCAGACCATTTTAGTTAATAGAAAGAAAAATCAGAATTAATTAGAAACAATAAAATCAAAATTTAAAAAAATAAAATAAGAAGCAGAAATAAAATCAGAAATAAATTAACACAAACATCTATAAATACTCAAATTGACTTTACAAAAATAAAATTAGAGAAAAAATTTTTCGTTTACTTATTTCTTCTCGTACTCATCCTAAATTGCACCCCATTGAATATTATTTTAGAATAATCACAATTTATTTATAACCAAAAAGAAATGGGTAGGAAAATGTGCGAGTTGACTTGCCGCCGTTTCCTGCTAGGAGAGGAGTAGCGGACGAGGTCGCGAACTTGTCTGTAACTCCTGAACATGTTTATCTCACACTTCGGTGTTCTTTCCATAGTGGAAAGGTGAAGTGACTAAGTCAACTCAGAGGTAAACGGATAGGTCGCTATTGGCAAGGTAATTACTTGACTGTGTGCTTGACCTTATGTTCTCCCTGGCGGTAGTAAGGATTCGGATGGAGGGCTGAGTCAACGAAAACTCGTTAAATTTTTTTTAAATTTTATTTAAAAAATTAAGGAAGTGAAAATGTCGTTAATCCAAGTATTGTTATTTCTGATGACGAGAATCCTAAATTAAATGGATTTTCAAGCACACTAACTAACAACAACATATTGCAATCAGAAAAACGTCGACGAAAAGATAGATTTGTAGATTATTCCGAAGTTAATAGAAATGGTGTTAGCATTACTTTAATAGAAAATAATTTGGGTAGTTTGCCTACAACAAGGTAGTATGTTTATAATAGTGTTCGGCACGGTTCGGTACTACATCGGTACTACCGAAAGTACCGAATTATAAACTTTATAATAGAAATTGGCTTAATGTTCAGAATTAAATCTGAACATTTAACCATTATTATAAATAATCAGAATAAAATTTGAACAGGAATAAATAAAAACATCAGAATTAAATCTGAACATACATAAAATAAGCCAGAATTTATAGTCTAAATAAACCGGAATAAATGCTTAATTTTTTCATAGATTAAACATTTTATTTCATTGTACAACCGGAAGTTGTGAACTTTCCCCTTCTCTTCTTTTGCCTTTTTTCAATCGAGAAGTGTCGCTTAAATCAGAATGCCGCCTTATTCTCTTTCTTTCAATTCCTCTAGCTATAGCCAATTATTTAATTGTTTATCAGAATGTTCCGTTAGTTTATTTTTTGTTTTTAAAAAATTCTGATTTGTAATAAAAACATCAGAATTATGAAATTCTGATTTAATAAACATCAGATAAAGAAATTCTGATTTTTAATAAAAAATCAGAATTAAATCTGAACTTTCTAGAAAATAAATCAGAATTAGGAGAAAATAAATAAAACCAGAATTTTTATTAAAAATATTCTGATTTATTTTTCCTTCAGTCAAAAAGTCCAACCTGTTGTTTTTGGACAAATTCTTGTTTGTCTTGGTAAACAAATTTATTTTTTAATAATTCTATTAATATTTTAAGGAATTTTATTATTTATTTGCGCTCTAGAATCACTTTGCCGAACAGCAAACTTATTATTAACAATTTCTGCATTTATTGTTTCAATGTTCTTACCTATAGGCCAACATGTTGATTTTAAATTTAAAAATTTTATTTAAAAAAATTTTTTAGTTATGCCTTGTTTTATTAGCGGTTACATGGCATAGACTGCCTGTTTTCTCTATTCTTTGGCTTCCATGTTTGTTTTGAATTATAAACATATTTTTTATTTGTTGGAATTAAAATGAACATTCAGAATTAGATTTGAACATATTCTGAAATTTCAGAATTAAATTCGAACATATTCTGAATTAAATTAAACAATTAAACATAGTTAAACATCAGAATTAATTTCGAACATTTTCTGAAATAAATTTTAAAAAAATATTTATTCAGAATTAAATTCGAACATTCAGAATTTAATTTAAACTTATTCTGAATGTTTAAATAATTTTTTTAAATAATTCTGATTTAATTAAACAATCAGAATTAAATCTAAACATCAAGAATTTCTGAATGTTTTAACACATTCAGAATTAAATTTGAACATACACATTATTTTTAAACTAAAAATCGCCCATTTAAGCATGTATTAGCCATATGTGCCTAGTTTTTGCTCTATACAGGTTCAAAAATTCTCTATAAAATTTATCAAATTATTAATTAATTTTAAAGACTTCCTTATTCACTTAGATGTTTTTTGGCGTCTTTAGATTGTGGTTTCTTCCTTATTTTGCTCGTATTCTTCTCAACCTCTGTTTCTAATGTATTGCAATCAGCACCTATTATTAGCTGTCAAATAACTATTTGGTAATAAAAATAAAAAATTTTCAATAATTTTTTTCATAGTTTTGTCAACATGATATCACTTTTACTCCTTTTAATATTTATTACCCGAATTGTTTGTTTTTTACTGATCAGAATTTAAAATTCTGATTTATTTTTAGACAGAATATGAACGTAAATCTGAAGCTTCGTGTAATGTTGCATTTAAAAATGAAGAAAGAGATGTTCAACTTATGCAAGATATTAATAGAGTTTGTTTATAAAAACATTAGTGGAAATCAATTCTGATTTAATTCAAACATTTGTTTTACCAGAATTGAATTCAAACATTTGTTTTACCAGAATTTAATTCAAACATTTGTTTTACCAGAATTTAATTCAAACATTTGTTTTACCAGAATTTAATTCAAACATTTGTTTTACCAGAATTAAACAATCAGAATTTTATTTAAACACATAAACTTCGTTTTCAAATTAAAAAATCAGAATTTAATTCAAACATCGGTAAAACAAAGATGTTTGTCTAAATAATAAATCAGAATTATTCCCATTACAACAAAGTTTATTAAAATGTTTATGTTTTTAATGTTTTAGTTATTAATTGACAACATTCTCCCTCCTACTGTTGCTCACAAGTTTCTCTCACACGATCGAAACACTGATGTTTGTTTAAAAACATTTAATTTTATAAAACATGTTTTTCTAGGAACTTTATGCCCGCGATCATGATAATGTTTGTGTTGTAAGTTTGTTTTATATATCAGAATTTTATTCAAACATTCATTTGTTTCTAAACATTTTCAGAATTTATTCGAACATTTAATTGTTTTTATTTAGATGTTTGCTTCAATTCCCAACTTTAAAGAGTATTGGAGTGAATGTGACCATACTAGAAAATTGGAGTGTCTTAGATTATTAAATGAAATTGTTTGTGAGTTTGATAAGGTGTTTATAGAATCCATCAAATTATTCTTTAATTATTTTTAATTTAAAAGTTGTTGTCAAAGCCAAAGTTCAGCTGCATTGAGAAAATCAAAACTGTTGCAAGTACTTATATGGCTGGTAATTTTTTTGAAAAAATTTCTGAAAATTTTTAAAAAATTTTGGAAATTTTTTTGGAAAAATTTTGGAAATTCTCATTAAAAAATCCAAATCTTATTTTCAAAAAAATCATTTTTTAGCTGCAGGATTGACTGACTCTGACAATGCCGACAATAGTGTAAGAATATAAAATAGATGAATATATTTTGATCATTAATTTCTAAAATTAATTATAGCCTGAACGAAATGCTGTTGTGGTAAAAAATTTTAGTTTTTAATTTTTTAAAATTATTAGATTGTCGAGTTTGCACAGGCAATGGCTTCTGTATTGGATCAACTAAACATCGACTCATTTCAGAATTTTGAACTTCGTATAGGTAATTAAATTCTGTTTTTAATTTCTCAATCAGAATAGTTGCTGAATAAATTCTGTTTTGTCTCTGAACAAAATTCTGATTTTTTTCTGACCATAATTCTGGTTTTGTTTCTGAGTAAATTCTGGTTTTGTTCCTGACCATAATTCTGGTTTTGTTTCTGAGTAAATTCTGGTTTTGTTCCTGAACAAAATTCTGATTTTTTTCTGACCATAATTCTGGTTTTGTTTCTGAGTAAATTCTGGTTTTGTTTCTGACCAAAATTCTGATTTTATTTCTGATTTTTTCAAACAAATTCTGGTTCAAATTCTGATAAAAATTCTGCTTCTTGCTATTAAATTAAAGTATTCTGATTTCTCATATATTTAAGGTATAAATGTCGGCCCTGTTGTTGCCGGAGTTTTAGGGCAAAAACCTCAATATGATATTTGGGGTAATTCTGTTAATATTGCCAGTCGAGTAATTTAATTTTTAATTCATTTAAATTTTATTATTTAAAAAATAAAAAGATGGACAGTTCAGGAGTTATTGGTTATATTCAAGTAAATGAAGAAACTAAACAAATTTTATCAAAAAAGAAATCAGATTATCAGTGGATTTATAGAGGAGAAATTAATATAAAGGGAAAAGGGCCAATGATCACTTATTTGCTTAAACTTTCTCGGAAAAATAGAATTAATTTTTATAAATTAATTTAAAATATTAATTATTTTGTATTAAATTTTGTAGTAATAAAAAATCAGAATTAAATCTGAACATTTAATAAACATCATAAGTTTAGATTGATGAACATTTTAAAAATAGGAATTAAAATCAGAATTAAATTTGAACAAAGCTGATTTTGTTTTTACTTTGTTTTTCTATTTGTTTTTATTTTGGTTTTCTATTAATTCTGAATATGTTCAGATTTAATTCTGATTTTTTCCATATTGTATTATAAATTTGAACTTTAATCATTAATTTTAATTCAGAATTAAATCTGAACAAATCTACATATAATAATTCTGAAATGACAAAAAGCATCAAAATATAATAAACAGAAAAACATTAGTAAAAACAGAATCAGAAATAAATTTTAATAAATAAAAAATATTTTAAATAACTTCAATTACAATTAAAAATCAGAATTAAATCTGAACATACTTGATATCATAAATTAAATAAAAACATTGTATAGTTAATAAATAATAAACAGTTTTGAATAAATTGGAAAATATTTAAAAAATTAGAACTACATACAGAACTACATACCTTTTCTTTTTACTAATTCTAAATTACACCTCATCGAATATTATTTTAAAATAATCACAATTTATATATAATTAAAAGAAAATAGTTTGAAAAGTATGCGAGTTTACTTGCCGCCGTTTCCCTCTAGAAAAGGAGGGACAGTCTTGTTAGCGCTGCAGGACAGAAACTCCCGAACACGTATGTTTGTTTGCTTCTATTGCAGAAGTCTAGCGTGGCCTCAGGCCCGGCAAATAGGCGTACCTATGTTCCTAGCGGTGGATTCGGATGGAGGGCTATAGAGGAACTCGTGAATTTTTTCCATTAAAAAATATTTTTAAATTTTTATTATTTTTTCATTGAATTTTGTAAAATAATGAATAGATTCTAATCTAAACAAAGATATCCTCATTTTGCTTTTAATTTGTTAGAAAATATGAATAGGTACATTATAAACATCAGAATTAAATCCGAACTTAGATACTCAAACAGAAAGCAATAGAAACAAAATCAGAAATAAATTAAAACAAAATTCAAAAAAACATAATAAATTTTGTTGTAGAAACATCAGAATTAAATCTGAACATTTGAAAATGTCTTTATAAAAAATTTTTTGTTATCAAATTATTTTAATTTTAAAATAATTCTTGAAAAATACCAACATCAATTAAAATTAGAAAAAAAATTCACCTCACTCTTCTTTCTTAACACATGGTGTATTTCTTAATACACCACATCAAATATTTATTTAAGATACTTTCAATTTATTTATACTTTCAACTTTAAGAATTATTGAATTTTTTGAGAGTTAGCTGCCGCCGTTTCCTGTTAGTTCACACATACTATGTCTTGCACTTCGGTGTATCTTCCATTGAGGAAGGGGATTCAGTAACGAAAGATACGTTTCGAGCCATAGGTGATCTATCAGTTGTAAATTCGGATGGAGGTCTGCTAAACTCGTTAATTTTTTTGATAAATTTTTGAGAATATAAATGGAAATGAAAATATCAAAGGATAATAAAATGGTTAAAATACTACGGTACGGAATTACGATAAATAATATCGTCGGTAGTAAAGTACCGTCGTGCGTGAAAAACATTTTTTCGTACCGTGTTATGATATCGATGATATCAGTAAGTTTGAATTAGTAATACCAAAGAGATTTGAAGGGATACCGGGAGATCTGAGCTCAAGATACTGAACTGAAGTATATAATAGCATTTCACTTTTAGAGCCAAAGGCAAAAATGTTGAGAATTTTGAAAGACCAAGAAGCAAGATTTCTTCCTTTTTAGCGCCGCAGGCGCTAAAAATCGTGACTATACACCAAAACCAAGATATTTTTTCATGGTGGATTCTCCGAAATCTATCCCAATTCACTGAACCTTTCCAGGGCCGCAGCGACATTTTAAGGGATTAAAGGAAAGAAGACCCTTTGCGGACTCATTTGCGGTAGTTAGCATGCGCTCTGGACATTTACCAAAAAAGAATTTTTAGTTTATTTGAAAAGAGAAAAATTTATTCAGTATTTGTGTTAAATTTATATGAAAAGAAAATAGAAATAGAGTATTAAATTCTTAGAATACGGCCAATATTGACGAAACACGAAAGGAAAGAAACCGAAACATTATTCATTTGTATCGATAATAATTAATTACTAGGGCTCGGATTTATAGGCAAATGCCAATTTTTTGGAAGCCTGGCATGATGTGATACGTTCAAAAAACGTGTTTTGAGCTTGGTCTGAAACGACTAGCATGCCCTTTAATCTGCCTATTCTTGT